CGATAAAATTACCAACAATAGAACTTGTTCAAAGTGGGCAGGTACTTGAAGTAGAGGGAAATTTTATTAATTATTTTATTTATTTATTTATTTTTATTACGGGGATTAGTCCACCCGGGCACAGGTTCACTGACCCACATCAGGGCCTGGAGGACGAAAGTGTAATAATAATAATAATAATAATAATAATAATAATAATAATAATAATAATAATAATAATAACAACACTGTAATAATAATAATAATAATAATAACACTGTAATAATAATAATAATAATGAAAAAAAAGAAGATAACAAATGAGAAACAATATATGTAGGTTCTGTTGTTAATAGTAAGAGAAACAATTGAGACCCTCCAGTTGTGTGTAAATGAGGCAGAAAGTCGGATCAGCAACCTGGACTTGGTCCCAGGCAGTAGTACCTCCCTGTTTTGTAGCTGCCTACTACCTATGAAACACAACACCAGCCAGGTCTCAAATTACTTTATTTTTTTCTTATTCCAGCATTTTAGTCTTAAAGATGAACCGAGCGTACCATCATGACGGCATAATATATGAATTTATAGCGCGAGTAAGTGAAACGTGGCTGGCTGCGACCGTAGACTTTTCCACACTCTTAGTCCCGTGTCTAGCGACTGACACATTATTATATACAGGGTGTCCCATAAGTTTCCATACATATGGTTTTTAACATTGGATTGGTCGGCGTGGTCCTGTGGAGTGGCCTCCCAGAGCCCCAGACCTTACCCCACTTGATTTTTACCTTTGGGGGCATTTGAAGGCCATGGTGTATCAGGAAAAGATACAAAACATAAATCATCTCAAGCAACGTATCACCAACGCCATTACAAGCATAACTCCAGCTGTGCTTGAACGTGTTCTACAGCAGTGAAGGACACGCATTGAAGAGTGTTTTCAACAGAATGGTAGTCATGTAGAGCATATTATATAAATAAAAATGGATTTTCATATAAAAAGGTTTATTTTTCCTATGTATGGAAATTTATGGGACACCCTGTAGTACCTTTCCTAACTTAAGGCAATTTTAATTATTTATCTTGATTGTACCATTATTATTATTATTATTATTATTATTATTATTATTATTATTATTATTATTATTATTATTATTATTATTATTATAATATGCGAGTAAGTGAAACGTGGCTGGCTGCGGCCGTAGACTTTTTCATGCTCTGGGTCCCGTGTCTAGCGACTGACCAATTATTATATAAGATGCTAAAAATAACAAAACAAACTTTAGAAATTCTGACCTAATCTTTCGTATTGTGGTATAAGTGCATTTATAAATCTTCTACCAAAACTTTCAGTTTACAATCATGGTTTGATCGCTCCTGCTCTCTTGCATGTAGAGAGAGGGATAGGGCATATCAAGTTATGAAACTATTTCCTCCTATTACCCACTCCTCTTCCATTACTTCTAGGAATCGTTGTAAGGCTATTCTTCGTAGGACCAAGCGTAATTTATAAAAAAAACAAAAAACAAAGACCGCTGTCCTGACGAACTCTTTTTCTCGTAAATCATTTTGGTACTTAACCAAAATATCTGTAATAAATTCTGCACTTCCTCCTCTCTTCCGACCTGATAACTCTATAGCCAACACCTGCTCTGAATAAAGCCAATCTCTTTGGCACCTTATTCTCCTCTAATTCCACCTTAGAAGATTCCAACTCTACTCCTACCCCTATTCCTCCTACTGAACCTATGCACTTTCCTATAATCTTCACTCGTCGGGTTGCTGGTGTGTTATCCAGGTTGGATGTGAGTAAGGCGCATGGACCGGACGGAATACCCCCTCGTGCTCTGAGGGAGTGTGCTGAGGTTCTGGCCCCTGTGTTTGCTCATCTCTTTCGCCTTCGCCTCAAAACTCAAACTTATTCTTCTTCTTGGAAGTATGCTCTGTTTCAGCTCATTCCGAAGAAGGGTGACCATTCTAATCCCTCTAACTATCGCCCCATTGCCCTAATTTCATCCCTCTCTTAAAAGTTTTTCGAAACTATCTTAAAAAATCGTTTTCTCCGTCACCTTGAAAACCTTTCTCTTTTATCGAATCACCAGTATGGCTTCCGTCAAGCGAGATCTACTGGTAATCTCTCTTCGGGATTATGGGGAAACCTTTGTGTTGGCTCTCGACATCTCTAAAGCATTTGACAGGGTATGGCACTAGTCTTTGCTTTATAAACTTCCTTCTTATGGTTTCTCTCCTCCACTCTGTTCTCTCATTTCTAGCTTCCTTGAGAATCTATCTATGGCAGTTGTTGTCAAAGGTACGATCTCTCGCTCTTCCTCTACTGTTTTTTTTTCACTTACTCTCTTCCTTCACACTACTCCTAGTTCTACCCATTCTTACGCTGATAATTCTACTCTTCACTCTTCTCATTTTTCCTTTCCCCTTAACTCTCAAACTAGATCTGTTTCTAGAGTTGATATCGTTTCTTTTATCAATGCCGATCCTTACTGCATCTCAGAGTGGGGAGGAAGAAATTTGGTTAAATTCAATAGTAATAAAACACAGTATTTACCTATTACATTTTCCAAAATTGAAGATTTCCCACCAATCACATTGCAGGACGCTACCATTCTGCCATATTCTAAAGTATATATGCTGGGCCTCACCATTTCCTCTAATATGTCATGGAAGCCACACATCCTCAACATTGCTAAAGCTGCCTCCCGAAAGCTGGGGTTTGTCGGACAGATGCCGTAGCTACTTCATTCCTGAGCAGTTGCTTCAGAAATTAAATGGTAGCGTTGGGGTGGATCGTAGCGTTGGGGTGGATGGTAACGTTGGGATGGATGGTAGCGTTGGGGTGGATGCTAATGTTGGGGTGGATGGTAACGTTGGGGTGGATGGTAGCGTTGGGGTGGATGAAAGCGTTGGGGTGGATGCTAATGTTGGGGTGGATGGTAGCGTTGGTGTGGATGGTAGCGTTGGGGTGGATGAATACTTTGTCCAAATTGTTGTAGCTTTATATGTGGTCTTAAAAACTTCTGTGAGATATGGTGAGTAAGTGAGGAATCTGAGGTGAAAGTAGGGGTCCATTTGGGGTCAGTCTTGAAGCTCCTTGTGGTCATCTTGGTCCTGGAGACAATATCACAAGGCTTTAGGACAGGTCTGCCCTGGGAGTTGTAGTATGCTGATGGCTTATTGCTGCCAGTGGAAGGTATTGAAGAGGTTGTGGAGAAATTTAAGAAATGGAAAGATAGAATAGTTTAAAGGACCTGAGAGCGAATGTTGCGAAAAAGAAATATTGACGAGTAGTGTGGGTGAAGGAAAGTACAAAATGACTAGAAGGTATAGCCAGGCCCCCGTTCTGTGAGTCGACCCTCGTCTGGGAGCTGGGACTCACTAATGGCTGCTATGTCGATGTTATACCTAGCCAGCTCTTTGTGCCACATGGGCAGTTCTTCTTCCAGGACACCCATTTGTGCCAGTATCCAGAAGGGTCGTGATATTCCATACGGGAACCATAAGAAGTTGTATAGTTTTTTGTTTTTGTTTATCTGTGATTATGATTGTGTTTTCCACCGCATAAGGATGACCTTACTGGGTGCGGTTGTCCAGTCAGGTTGGTTCTTTTGGTAGGCTATGCTTAGGGCACCTTTTACCCCCTACCCATGTAGGGTGCACGGAGTGGCTCCTAGAAAGGGTTGCTCAGTCGCACAGAGAGGACCAGATTGCACTGCTGCCTAGATCCCACTGCATAAACTATCATCAAATCTATGCTGCCCCTGTGCAGAGTTGTGACTAGAGACTCCCGGCAGTCATCTCTGCCTGTCCCGGTCGCCAGTTGTCCGTCCCCATACTACTTTTGGGGTTATAGGAAGTTTGATAAGTATGATGACCTGGATGATGTCTGCACATGAGTTGATTTATGTGGTGAGGCAGGAGCGCAGGCTGCAGTCACACATCTTGACTCTACCTTTTCGAGATCTAGTGGTGCAATTGTTGCAATGACTGGGGGGAGGGAGAGTTGCAATGGACTGCCGATAGCCCAGTTTGTTGGGTTTCGCCTTAGTAGCCTGTCCATCATGCATTGCTTTCGTCCGCCGGTGCAGTCGTTGGGTTCCCATATTTTTACCTCTTCTGCCTATGCCGCCGTTGGGGTCTTGTTAGGCTCTGTAAGCATGTCTGCCTGATGCGGGGCTCCACCGCACATTTTTCGTTCGTGATTTACTCCCATAGCCTTATACCTACGAAGGTTAATCAGCAAGACAGCGGGGCAGTGGTTGGTAGGCGGCAGGACGTGTGCACAGGCCAGTCGGCCTATGTACCGTCTCACTGGCGCCCACTGCTACTCCGGGATCCTCTGTTGGTCTAGCTTGGGCCCAAGAGGCACCCAGTTACCGTGTGTTGCCACGAGGAGGCACAGGAGGAGTCTTGGTGGTGAAGAGGCTGTGAATTGGCAGGGGAGGACTTATGCAAGTTGCTTCCCTGCTCGCCACAAGGGCTAGCCAGCGGCGGTAGCTGAAAGCGAGAGGAAGCAAGCAGTGCTTGCACCTTAACACTAACAGAAAGCTGCCACACTAGACGCATTACACCAAATTGTGCGGACTCTCTCTCTCTCTCTCTCTCTCTCTCACACCACACACACACACACACACACACACACACACACACACACACACACACACACACACACACACACACACACACACACACACACACACACACACACACACACACACACACACACACACACACACACACACACACACACACACACACACACACACACACACACACACACACACACACACACACACACACACACACACACACACACACCTTATTCTCCCATACATCTTAGAGTCATGGATGACATATCATTAATACACACTTCTTTTATTATATCACATATACTGTAGGTATTAAATTTTTTATATGGAGTAAGATAAAAAAAATTCTTTCTATTATTCCTTAGAATGAAAACCTACCTGAGAATGTGGACATATTTGGGAAAATTAGGTAAACCAGTAACTTGATTTGTTTATTTTAATGGAGGTAGCTGCCTCAAGGTCCACCTCAAATACTGTCCCTGGAGGTTTCATCCTCAGAGCCATCCTCACTGGCCGTGCCCACCGTTGACCTCCACACATGTCCCGACCATGTAGCTGCTCTTGTCCGACAGTAAGAAAGCCACCACCTCGGCCACCTCTGATGACGGAGATGAACACCTTATTTTTTTTAGCATGATCTTGGTCATCTCTGTTGAGCGGGATTAAAATATTCTTTTATCCGGGGATTCCAGGACGACTACAGTCACCTTTTGGGGGGAAATGGTATTTGTTTTTCAAAGGTGTTTTTAGTTCAACAAATCACAATGCTCTCCCAATAGATATGTTACACACACACACTCTCTCTCTCTCTCTCTCTCTCTCTCTCTCTCTGGAAGAATTTACTCCATCTTTGTTAGGAGAGTTTAAAAGATCCATTTTTGGCAATATATGAATTTCACATTTTGAGATAATGTCTGGTGAGTTGCTACGTCTAGGTCCAACGTTTGTGTTTTGGATGGGGATAAACGTCTGCTTTATCACAATATGAACAGATAATATTATACACATTGACCACTGTGAGATGAATAGTGGACACTTAAAAACTTCTCTCGTTAAGAATTCTGAATATATATTATACGGTGTTGGAGATAGAACACAGCCTTGTCTCCCTCCCTGTTTAACTGTGAGCCAATTAGCAAGTTCGTTATTACTGCAGCCTCATGGGTTTATAGGCATGGTAATAACACAAATATTGATTTTTTGAAATAACTGGGAAGGTCTCCTTTGACGTATAAAGAATTACATATTGTAGTCATACTTTTTATCCCAAACTTGTCATAGGCAGCTGCAAAAGCGTTGTGCACTTTGTGAATATTGTAGGTATTTATGTGGGGAATTAATGTTATCTTTACGTGTTTTGTTGATGCTTTCATTACATTTGGTCCATCACTGAGCATCTGTAGAAGTATACGAGTGTACAGAAGAGTAGCAACTTTAGATCTTCTTTTATGGGAAATAGCAGTTTGAACCCTGCCAATAGTGCTGGAAACAAGATTGACAAGCAAAACTATTTTGTTATTCGGAGAAGTACCTGACCAAAACTTCTAATTGTCTACAGTGTTTGGTAGATGTCGTTTCGTCAGTCACAAGTGTGTTTGCTAAAGCAAAATTTCGAATTTCATTTTCAACTAATTCTCTGAAATGTGGTCCAATTTCATCTGATAGTTTGTAACTTGTTTTAGAGCGCTCATAATTCATTGCAGTAACAACCTTTTAATCTAGAAACATAATGGGGTTAGGTTAGTACAATTTTGTCACCAAATAGCTTCAGCAGCAATCACTTGATCTGGAAGCGACAGTGTACGCTTAGAAGATGATGCGCGGCTGAAGCTCTCAACGATGCTTGTTTTGGAAGCTTGAGTTTATTAAATGTCCATATTTATTACGGTATATATATATATATATATATATATATATATATATATATATATATATATATATATATATATATATATATATATATATATATATATATATATATATATATATATATATATATATATATATGTATATATATGTATATATATATATATATATTTTTGGGGGGGTGGGGGCATTTTCAATGTGAAAAAGCTTCTTTGGATGATGAATCAATGAATCACGTCCTGTAATTTGACATCAACATTTTTATTATATATTAACCGGTGGACGATTCTAAGCACCAGAAGAAAAATCACCTATTACTCTCTTTTCTGTGTCAGTGAATCCTTATTTTTTATTCCCGCCAATATATAACATCAGTTCTGTGAACATGTTTAGTTTGTCATCAAAACAGACGCCAGCATTTTATTTATAAAAAAACACACAATATTTCGGTATCACAACACTGTTTTCACCCGTACTGCGTTATTGTACACTGTGAAGATTCATTACAAAGCTGGCTGCGAGGAAGAAAACGGAGGCGGTGAATTCGAATGGCAGACTAAAACTAAATACCTCTGCGTACCAATATAAAATGCAAAGCTAAGTTATAACACAAAAATTGCTAATTTTGAAAGAGGTTTATAGCAAGTCAAATACATGAAAGTTTTACATGTAATTTTGTCGCATCCTGTTATCTCACAAGATATTCTCACTTTGATCCATGACCGCACCAAGACACCATTTTGACACACTTTGTCACAGCTTTCTCATAATTTTAGGATGAATTTACTTTGACACATTTTGACAAATCGTGTATGTTCTTGTCTGATATGAACGTATGATCGTGTGAAATATTCTGCTGCTGGCGATAAGTAAAAGTTTCACCACATTTTCTGAGGACAGAGTAATGTTAATGTGTAGAGCAAATATAAAATATAAATAATAGATAAACGGTTTGCAGGAAATCCGAACACGACATATGGTGGTACACATCACTGCGTCCATCTTTTACGGCATATTCTAATTTTAAACAGTATTACAATTCTGAAAGAAGAGGCCTTTAGCGATGAACAGACGATCGGAAAGTCACACGCGTTATATGGAAAGTACAGTTATAGTTGCTACACTACTGACCTTCTGGTTGTCCTATTCTGCCAATCGGTGTTTGAGCAGCAGCTGCCTCCAAAACTGCCTTAGGAACGCCAGCAATCATTGGTGTTTCAATGGCTCCAGGCAGCACACAATTGACCCGAATTCCCTTCCTAGAGTGACGAAATAAGAAGATAAAAGAATACATATATATATATATATATATATATATATATATATATATATATATATATATATATATATATATATATATATATATATATATATATATATATATATATATATATATATATATATATATAAAGTTGTGTGTAAATAATTGCAGATTCGCAATAACGTCTATATATTAATTTTTGGCGACCTTTGACAGGCCTTAAACGACCATGTAGCATTCCCAGTATTCCATATTTCCTTGCAGTAACATGTTTGTTTTCACCAGCTATGGCATTGAAATGACTCACTACCTTGAACTGATGTTTTCATTGCATTTGTTCATGTCTTCCCAAAACATCTTCTTTCTTACTCCCTGATTCATACACAATCACAATAACAGATTTTCACATTCTATTCTTATTCTGATCTATGATATCCTGAGACTGAGCTCAACCTTACTTCATAATGTAAATCAGGTTATGCAGATAAGCAGTGCCCGGCAACCCGGCCATGCCTTGACTAGGGGCCGGACAAGTGATTTATGAAGCTCATGGGCCCGGCACTTGCCTGGAGGACGAGCTAATATTTTGAGAGTAAAATATATAGACGGAACTTTGTCAGGTGCTGTGTGACTCCACCTCACCTGTATAACCAGGGAGGTCCGTTAACGGCAGCGAACCAGGATTAATGACCAGTATTAAGTGCAGGTAATTTATCTCTACATTAATCCGCCAACCGGTCTCTAGTCAACCGATGTAAAGTTATGAGCATTACAAAGGAACTACTAAGCCGAGATGATGTAGACGTGAGGTGACAGGAGTTATGACGTCACTGACACCATCTAGACGGACACAAGTGATGTGTGAGTTGATACACGCAACATATTTGACTACTTTAAAATGTTTATTTAACTGTTCCCACAAAAAGATTCTGTCAGGCAAATATCCTCCCCAAATTTACCAGGGCAAGTGTTAAAAATGTCTGGGTAATTAAATCTCAACAGTCACTCACAGGGACAATTAATATGTTCCACATAATCTGCACAGCCTGATGTGAATATATTTCAATCTTTTCTTGTCACCATTGTAGGCCTTCCCATAATTTACTCCCCTCACTTGTCCTAAGTTAATATAAACTTTGCCCTTCTGCTGTGCTTCACACAAAATCCAGACACTCAATTTTCAGCCATGATAGTTTCCATCACTTAAAAAAAAATTATCACGCCCCCGCACACTTAAACATCCCAATGTTATTTTCTGTTTATACTTCGTGGTGGAGTTACTGGCCCCGTAATGGTAACACAAAGGATCACGTTATGACTTACACATAATTTTAACTCACTTAATCAATTCTGAAGAACATGTCTTTGTTAAGGACACCACTCCCCCTTTGCTGGCAGCATACTGGCAGTGAGTGGGGAGCCCTAGCACGGCAGCGTAGCTGGCTATGTTTACTATAGCGCCCTGGACTTTTCCTCGCTCTAATAGTGAATTAGCCATTGCTTGACTCACCAGGAAGGTTCCCTGCACAGTATATGGAATAAGAATATGCATTATACAGTCAATATCACAACTACTAACTAAATTAACCATATTTACAGAAAGGTTGATTATAAAAAAAAGTGTTGGATGTCGTAAGTGATGTAAGGTTAATTTGACCACACTAACACTAATATGTTAATGAGAATAGAATCTCTTGGCTTTTAAAGCTTCAATAGACGATTTTCCACACACACACCTACTACTACTACTACTACTACTACTACTACTACTACTACTTCTACTACTCTCTGGCACCTTATTCTCTTCTAACTCCACCTTAGACGATTCCAACTCTATTCCTCCTACGCCTATTCCTCCTACTGAACCTATGCACTTTCCTATAATCTCCACTCGTAGGGTTGCTGGTGTGTTATTCAGGTTGAATGTGAGTAAGGCGCATGGATCGGACGGAATACCCCCTCGTGTTCTGAGGGAGTGTGCTGAAGCTCTGGCCCCTAAGCTTGTTCGCCTCTTTCGCCTTCGCCTCAAAACCCAAACTTAGGGTGACCATTCTAATCCCTCTAACTATCGCCCCATTGCCCTAACATCATCCCTCTCTAAGATTTTCGAAACTATCTTGAACTCCCATTTTCTCCGTCACCTTGAACGCTTTTCTCTTTTGTCGGATCACCAGTATGGCTTTCGCCAGGCGAGATCTACTGGTGATCTGTTCTCCTATTGCACCCATCTTTGGTCATCCTCTCTTAGGGATTATGGGGAAACTGTTCTGTTCTTTCACCTACTCTCTTCCTTATTTTTATCAATGATTTACTTCACAATACAACTAATTCTATCCATTCTTACGCTTATGATTCTACTCTTCACTCTTCTACCTTCCTCCTAACTCTCAAACTAGATCTGTTCCTAGAGTTGATATCATTACATCTACCAATACGGATCTGTGTTGCAAATACAAATGGGGAGGTAGAAACTTGGTTAATTTCAATTGTAATGAAACTCAGTATTTACCAATTACACTTTCCAAATTAGATGATCTCCCACCAATCACATTGCAGGACGCTACCATTCTGCCAAATTCTAAAATAGATATGCTAGGCCTCACCATTTCCTCTAATATGTCATGGAAGCCACACATCCTCAACATTGCTAAAGCTGCCTCTCAAAAGCTGGAAATGCTGTACAGATGCCGTAGCTACTTCATTCCTGAGCAGTTGCTTGAAGTTTATAAGGGATTCATTCGTCCTAACTTGGAGTATTTCTCTCATATCTGGGGTGGCTCTTCTTCTGTCCAACTGTTAGATAGGGTGGAATCCAAGGCATTTCGTCTTATTAACTCTCCTCCTTTAGTTGACAATGTTTCTTCTCTTTCTCTTCGCCGCAATGTTGCTTCACTCTCTCTCTTTTACATATATTTTAACGGGCAATGTTCGGTGGATTTGGCATCCTGTGCACCGCCGGCAAGGCTGTGGGTTTGTAACACACGTCCTGCCCGCGGTGCCTACTGTTTCTCTGTGGATGTCGGTCACTTTAGAATAACCCGTTACAGTATATCCTTCTTTCCTCACACAGCCAAACTGTGGAATGCTCTGCCTTCTGTCTCACTTTAAAAAGCTGGTTTTCCGGCATCTTCGTGGTGTAGCTTCATGTAACCTTTTCCTTTTCTATTTTCGATTTTTTTTATCCTTTATTTTTTCGCCCCCTAGGCACCGTTGTGGGTCGTTGACCTGTGCCCGGCTATTCCTGCAAAAAAACCTACTACTACTACTACCTTGCTGTCACTCGGAATCGAATATGACGATCATCCAGCTATGATACAATGATATGACCTATTAGGGATGTCACCTTCATTGATGAGGTTTGAGATGACCAAAGAGGCCGATACGGGACCGGCAGAGTCGTTCACATGAGTTGCACATGTAGAGGGCGACATCGAGTGCGGGACGGGCGGTGGCAGCGTCTTTCCGGCGTTGACGCTTGTCTGCCTCGGTTTGCAGTCGGTCTAACTCGAAAGTATTGACACCTTCTCGTGTGGTGCTCCTCCAAGCGTTACGATGTGGAGTAATCGTCTCCCAGGTGAGGGGGTCGATTTGGCACTTTTTCAGGTTTGTCTTAAGACTATCCTTATACCCTTTCAGTTATCTGTCGGCGTTACGTTTACTATTCGTTAGGTGACTGTAAAGTAGCTGATTTGACAGTCTAATGTCGTCCATGCGGGTAACATGGCCAGTCCAGCGTAGTTGTTCATGGATAATGGTAGCCTCGATGCTCCTACAGTTGGTGTCTGCAAAAATACTGGCATTTGTTCTCTTGTCTTCCCAGCGAACTTGGAGGATGGAACGTAGACTACGTTGGTGAAAGTTTTCAAGTGCCTTGAGGTGCCTCCTGTATGTGACCCATGTCTCGTTGCCATACAGCAGGGTGGGGAGGACCACTGCTCGATATAGGTGTAACTTTGTAGATAATTTCAATTCCCTAAAGCTGAAGACACGGATACGGAATCTGCCAAAGGATTGAGATGCTCATCTAATCCGATGCTGAATCTCACCGATGTCCGAGGTGGTGGACAGGTGGGAGCCGAGATATCGAAAGTGGGTAACATTAGAGAGGGTAGTACCGTTAAACTGGATGGATGGTGGAGGTGTGTCTGAACCAGGGGCAGGTTGAAAGAGAATCTGAGTCTTACATACATTCACCTCAAGGCTGAAGTGTGCATATGCATCTGCATAGATGTTCAGGATCTCCTGTAGGTTGCATTCAGTGTGAGCAACAAGAGTGAGGTCGTCTGCATATTGAAGTTCAGTAATGGAAGCTGCCGACACCTTTGTTCTTGCCTGGAGTCATCTTATGTTGAAAAGACCCTTCATCTGGTACTCAATGTCCACCCCGCCGGCTAAATTGGCACTGGTGCGAGTAAGGAAGGCAGCCAAGAAAAATGGAAAAGAGAGTTGGCGCCAGTACACATCATTGTTTTACCCCCATTTGGATGGGGAAAAACTCAAATTGGGTGCCATTGTGCAGGACACTGCCGTTCATGCCGTCGTGGAGTTGCCTCACAATGGCGATTAATTTTGGGTGGAAGCCAAACTGGCTAAGGGTCCGCCAGAGGGCTTCCCTGTTGACCAAGTCGAAGGCCTTGGTTAGGTCGATGAAGGCCATATTCAGGTCACGACGCTGTTCTCTGCACTTTTTCTGTATTTGGCGGGCAGTAAAGATAATGTCAGCGGTGCCACGTGATGGTCTAAACCACATTGAGATTCTGGGAGGAAGTTTTCCGCCTCAGGAAGAAGTCTTATCAGGAGGACTCGGGCGATAATCTTGCCAGCTACGGACAGTAAGGAGTTCCCGCGGTAGTTGCCTCAGTCTAACCGGTCTCCTTTTTTCTTATAAATATTGATGATGGAGGCGTCTTTAAGAGCTTGGGGGATTTCCTCCATTTCCTATATATTCTTCAGGAGAGAGTGGAGACGGCTAGTAAGCAGAGGTCCTCCTGCCTTACATACACACAAACACACACACGCGCACACACACACACACACACACACACACACACACACACACACACACACACACACACACACACACACACACACACACACACACACATAGTACAGGGGCGGCACAATCCATGCAACTTTGAAAACAAACTCGCTGTACCCAACAGAATGCTAGCAAAATATATTATAAAAACATTAACCTCAACATAACACAAACATCTGTTATGCGTCACGGACCTTGAGGTTGACGTCTATCACCCTCATAAAAGTGTTCTCATCCATGTCGGTGAAAGCACACTTGCTGCTGATGCCGGCACTGTTAGCCAGGAGGCTGGGAGGAGTCTGGTACTTGTCTATGATGGCTTTAATGCCGGAATCCACAGAGCTCTTCTCTTTAACGTCCATGAGTAGAGCCAGATGTTCTCCGGGTCCTGTAGGTGTTATGGTAACAAGTTATGATATATTATGAAACACCATAACCAGAGCAATGTTGTCCCCGGACCCTGTAGGTGTTATGGCAATGACATATTCAGGTATAATGAAGGCATATTGAAGGTGTGGTAGACTTACCGGGGAGCATGTTGAAGGTGTGGTGGACTTACCTGGGAGCATATTGCAGGTGTGGTGTACTTACCTGGGAGCATATTGACTGTGTCTTGGCTGTTTTGGAGGTTGACGTCAGCCACAACCACACTGGCACCGTCCCTGGCCAGCACCCGGCAGATGGCACGACCAATGCCGCTCCCGCCACCTGTAACATCTCTGTCCATCACTTTGTCTTACTGTAACAAATAAATGAGTATCTTGATCCGTCTCCTATGCATAAAGTACATAGCTCCCCCACGCCCCCACCCCCTCCCCACCCCCACTCTTCCATTCTCGTCCCCGATCGCTGGAGAGCACCCACTCACTCGTCGTCTCAATCAATCGTACTCCCAATCACTCACCTCCCCGATCACTCGCACCCTCGACAACTCGCTAAGATTCTCCAACTTCCATCACTGTTTCTGTAATTGACGGTGCCCATTATTTAAGTTAATTTCAATGACTGTCTCTAAAGAGTTATTGTTGGCTTCCTGATGCTGGGAATTTGTTGGCTTGTTTATCGTTAGTTTTGGACTAGTTAATTTTTTATAAACTTATTTGATTTGATTAGTTTAACTTTTGTATTCTAATTGGTAATTCATTGGGATTGATATAAGCCTTAAAACTCCACCTGAAAAACAAAGATAACTCAAACGGATGCCATCCATTACTGAAGCATCAGCAACACACAAGCTAAAAGACCAACTTAGTCACAAAACGAGCCATTGTGCAGTCAAACTGATACCAAGCTGTTGCTGTAGATCAGTTGCCGGTCCTGATAACGGCAGACAATGAACGTACTGTAATACGTGTGACCTCAACGATGATAAGGACTTACATGCAGTAGACGGTACAGAAGCACCATAGGAAGATCTGAACTCAACTGACTGACCTACACGTTTTGCAATTTGTAAGCCACTGAATAAATATCGAGAATTCTTGCATATTTAACAAAGTACTTGTATATATGATAAACCTTAAGCTGGCAGCGGCTGACTGGATATATTGATCGCCTCCTGTCCTTAGCGTAGCTGGTTCGAGCGTGTCTAACAAGCTGTAAATGATTTCTTTTCGTACTAAAGGTTTAGTATTCAGTCCAAATCGGGCGGTTATGTCTACGGTACCCACTTTCATAATATTCTTTTACTGAAATTACATTCACTATCCATATACCACCCCCCCCCCCCCCCGCAGAAAACTACCCATCCCTGGAGCGGTGAGAGATGCCGGCCAGAACACGTGTTGGGATCTTTACTGTTTCAAGATTATGAAGACAAATTATAGCTGGTAACGGAGGAACACGCAAACCGTCGACAGTGTATTACGTTTAATATAGATGAATACCGTAAATTGATATTTGTTTTATTGTCTGCCATAACTATTTTATCTCACACCGTTAACAAACTGTGACTCGTTCTGGGGTGTATATTAAAGCAGGTGTCCTTGGGATTTGTCTAAATGTTCTTATCAATATGTTATCACCTTCACTATCAACCCAACCCCAGGTAACCGGCGTCCTTATCACCCTGCTGTTAACCAAACCTGTATGACCATAAATACAAACGCCTTAAACCTTTATGAGTAAAAGTAATATTTGCTATATGTTTTGTTTCAATCACTACAAACACATTTATAAATAATTATCATGTATCAGTATTGTAAACAAATAAATTGGACTTAGAATCGGAAGAAAAGTTTAATATAATATCGGCGTTATCTGTTGCTATCTCTAGTCCTCGTGTTGATCATGATAACTGAAGTATTTGGTGACACTTGAGTTATTAAGATGTCGTATGCAACTATGGTGATATTTATGAATAGTTAAATGTCCTTTGATCATATGCAAAAACATTATGAAGTTTATCCTTAATGAATTCAAATGTTAAGATGTACTCCAAGATAAGTTTGATGCATCATGTTTTTCTGATATAGCCATTAACAGCTATCTTGGAATTCACCGGCGGATATCATTTTAATTAAGTCCCTATCACAAAAGTAATACCAGAAATGAGTTTCCCAACCCCAAATTAGTAGAAATTGATATATCACACAAGTTTGTAGATCAAACGGTTCAAGAGTTGTAGACTATGCCTACATTCAAAATGGCGGCCAGTGGTCATCTTGGTTTTGAGGGTAAAAATGGCCGCCAATTGTCAACATAACCCCCTCTGCATTATTTTAACATTAAGTAATTCACGAGATGACAAAAATATATATCTTGGGACTTTTTCGCAAACTCCTCATCTCACTTGCACTGTAACTGTGCATAACATGGACCTTCCTCTGTCATCCCACTAATTAAGTGTCGATAAGTTATACAGTAACACATACATGCGACCATTACCCCTTTCTTGTGGCACAAGTTTATTGTAACATTCTACGTTTTCAAGCAAATTCCAAGATTTATGGAGGCAAAATCTCTCTCCTGTATTCTCCTTCCATTGTTGACATTCCCGAATAACAGTTAAACAAAAGCCGTTTAAAATAAATACAAAAACAAAGGACAAAGGAAGACAAAAGTTAAATGGATAACAAAATGGGTAAGTCGGTTGAATAAACATCGCCGAAGACGGCATGTCTGTCCAGGGTCACGATTGGCTTGTATTATATATATATATATATATATATATATATATATATATATATATATATATATATATATATATATATATATATATATATATATATATATATATATATATATATATATATATATATATATATCAGTGAATATAAGTTGCTTTCCCATCTTGTTGGTCATCACAGAACCAGTGAGAAAGATACGTGTTACTTGTTATAAAAATTGCATTTACTACTCGTACATGATTGAATTAAGTAGAAACAATGATATAAATATTGTTCATAGGTTGAAGAAAGTTTATGTGTGTATTTTGTATGGTCGCCGTATCGGCAGTTGAAATATACTTAACGATAAGAACACTGAAGGGAATCGTCAAGTTGACTGTTAATTGAAACCCAGAATCGGTTAATATTGAAAAAAACAAAATCCACTGATCCCTAAAAAAAAAAATATGGGTTGAATTCTAACATCAGAAAATTACTATAGTAACTAACCTACCCTGAATGTTGTTTTCGATGCCTGCCAAGTATTATCTAGTATGAAGATGCGTATCTAAACAAACCTTAATGACTTAATCACTACTCTCGTGAGCTTTCATTCTAAACCAAATTTAGTAAAAACAAACCTTATTTCACTGTTATTTTCTGTTACCAATCATGTATTCAATTATCCCAGCATCATATACTTTATAACGTTACCTGTGACCAGTGCCACTCTGCCAGTAAAACTTGGACCCGACATGTTGGCAAAAACAGCAAGTTGTTAAGTCGCCCCTGAACCAAGGCTGCCTGGCGCGTGTCTACATCACAGTAGGCTTTATTCTCCTCTGCTGATATAACACAGTTGCCATGTCTAGCCACAAATGGCTTGTATAATGTTTTAATTTGGGGAACGAATACAAAATGCCTCATAATAGGGATAATTTTAGTATTCTACATAATTATTCTATAGTTTAAAATTAAATAATTGTAAGCAAACAGAACAATTTTGACTTACTTGGTTATATTGAATACCCTTTAGGAAGTGAGAAGCAATGGAAAAGACGAATTAATTATAGGAAATAGAAAAAGAGAGACATGCCAGGAATAACATAGAACACGAATAAACCTGTGAATGAAACTTGAGTTCTCAGTTTAGTGAAAAACACCTTGATGATAGAGTAGAAGGCTGAGAGGCGGCTGGTAAGTACGGCAAGAGGTGATAAGTTATGGAGATAAGATACTGTGATATTAAGGCCAGGTTGAACAGTCATATAGAGAGATTGGGATGACCTGTCACACCTGTCATTTGAGTCCACATACCTCATCACCATGCTGAGCTGCTGCATGCAGGCAGAGTCAGTTACCTCATCAGTTATGATAGATAATTTTTTTTTTAACCTTCTGGAGGATATGGTCATGAATTTGTTCTCCACAAATGTGAATCAACTGGTTCTGGATATTACAAGATGTGTACAGAGCATTCTTGGCAGCTGTGCCTAGGTGCATACCCAGAACCCTGTCTCCAGCCTCCACACAGAAGTCAAGGAGGGCCAGAAAGTTGCCATGGTTGGCAGTCTCACAAATGTGAATCAACTGGTTCTGGATATTACAAGATGTGTACAGAGCATTCTTGGCAGCTGTGCCTAGGTGCATACCCAGAACCCTGTCTCCAGCCTCCACACAGAAGTCAAGGAGGGCCAGAAAGTTGCCATGGTTGGCAGTCTCACAGTAGCGATCAGCTCCTTCAGACTGGTGGCGCGTGTCTCTGTACCCACCGTGGCAGGACATGTCTGCCCCTTATTCATTGACTCCATTGAGGTCGAAGGTCCAGGACTTGGGTTCACTTCTCTGTTTCCTGTTCTGTGCCTCCACTTCGTACAGTACTTTGGGGCAGTGACTGTACTCCCTCTGGAGGGAGTCTCTTGGCTCCGACCCTTTCTGCGAATGTTGCAACGCTTCACTCCCACTAGGCTCTCCCTGGTGATGGGTCCGTGTCTCTTTAGTATATTTGCTCTCCTAAGTACTGCCACTTCGGACTGATCCCCCCATTGACCTTTCATCTACCTCAGGCAACACTCGTGTCGTGACGTCAATCATCCATCCAACTTCTGCTGCGCCATCCAGTTCCGTCAAGCTCTCCTGAAGCGCCATGGTCTGGGTTTGAAGCATCCTTATAGCCTGTATAATACTTTGCCTGTAGTTGTCGTTATGTCTTCTTTCTTCTCTGTCCCTCTCAGCTGTCCATGGCTGTAATCGTCTTCCTTGTTTAGTAGGTCTACTGGTGCCTTCCACACCCCTTGGTTCTATTTGAGTTAGTGTCAATCCTTGATCAGGAACCATGGGCCCATCTGGGGCTGGTTTTCCCCTTTCAGGCGTTGCCGGGGCTCGTATTACTCCTCCATCTACCTCTTCCTGCCCGTTCCCAGGCTCAAGTGGTATCTTCCAAGTGTTAAGTTCCTACTGGTATATGAACGTTTGTTTCACGCCGCTATTTTAAGTCAGTTTAACTCGGCTGAATTTTGTGAATGTCGGTGTTCATGAAGAGCTGCAGAAGGATCTCTGTGAGCTCCAAGAATGGTCGAAGAAATGGCTGCTGAGATTCAATGTCACAGTGTAAGAGGATACACCTGGGGCGTACCAACCGTAAGGAGTAATAACAACGTTATAGCTCTTTTGGTGTTTTCCAAATATTCACGAATTAAGACAGCGGCCACCTTGGAATTCTGACGTTTCGTCAAGTGGTATTTTAGGCGACTTTACTGTGTGGTATTGGGTAGACATCAAAACAGCAATTCTGAAGAAAACAAATGTTTTATAATTTTTTCTAGGTTAGAGTTAATGCTACTGTACTATAGGATTATTATGCTGACAATACTGTATCTGGTGTTCCCATGAAGTCACCCATCCAAATACTGTACAAAACTGACCCGATGTTGTTATCCTTTGCTATGTAGACTATTATAATGAGATTGTGTAATGTATGCAAACATAATTCCAAAACTCTGGTGTGAAATGAATTGAGTGTCTAAACAATCTTTAAAGGGGTCAGGGATCAGCGGGGGAGCCAGGGACTAGACAGGGTGTTGTTTACAATCAAGTGTTGTTAGAGAGTTGTGGCATCATACAGGACCCTCTGGACCTAGATAGAAAAACATATATTTTTGTTTGCGGATAACAACCACCTAACTCTTACAGATTAATTTATATACAGCAAAGGTCATGATGATGTCTTCATTGTTGTGACGCCAGAGTAGTTTTATATTAAATAAAGTTCATCAGCCGATAATAAAGTGAGGGATTATCTGTCGTGCAGTTAAAGCTGTGAACAGGGTTGTTATTTTTTATATCAAACAAATCGGATTTATTTGATTCAAGTTGGATTTTTTATTTCAATCAATTTTGAAGAAAAAATAATCAGGTCTTTTTCCCTTGTTGACAACAACTGTTCCTAGTCTTCTCCTTCGATGGACTTGTTCATTCGAAACTGAGGAACCGCCTTGGTACGGAAAAGCAGCAAAACTGGTCTTTCACATTAACTCTTTGAATGCAGACGCTGGTCATGGTTACGAACCAACAGATAACCTCTCTCGTGTTTTAAAGTGTGTTAAATGTAGGGATTCTAATAGTGTTAAGAATTAAAAGTGTTTATTATAAATAATGTCTGAATATCTCCGAACATATCTGTGTTTCAGAAAACTCTGGCGCTCGGTGAGGAGCGAGGCTACTCGGCGTCAGAGGTACAGGTCTCCAATACCTTGTCGGAGAAGATTTACAATAAACAAGGTTTTGAAACAATTAAGACCCTTGATCTGGCGACTGTGGAAGATGAATTTGGCCTTGACATATCTCTCATACCCGGTGAAACTATCATGAAGTTGATGGTCAAACGCCCTCCCAGCATCGTCTTGGGGCAATAGAGACTTCACCGGCTCTTCTTCATGAAATTTATATATGTAATGTGAAATAACGGCATTATTTTTTTTCAGTTTGTCAACTTTTGCAAATGTTTTCATAACCTGACAACACATTATCTCAGTGTTATAATGTAAGGAATTCAAGAACCTTTGTCAAAAAAACAGCTTTTAATCAGTAAAACCATAAATTATATTTATGTTGGTCTTACAACCACTCCAGCTCTCTCAGTAAACCATGACTGGTCTGAAAAATGGCAGATGAGATTTAATGTGGACAAATGTAAAGTACTTAGTCTAGGAGATATAAACCAGATACCAGATGAACAACGATGTTATAGAGAAATCTGACTGAGAAAGACTTAGGAGTAACGATAAGTAGGAATGTTAAGCCAAGTCAACAATGTGCATTTGCTTGAAACAAGGCTAATAAAGTACTTGGGTTCATACAAAGGAGTGTTAGTTACAAGACTAGCGAGGTAATCCTAAAATTATATCTTGTCTTGTGAGATCTCACTTGGATGACACAGTTCAGTTTTGGTCACCGTATTACAGAATGGATAGAGGATCCCTAGAAAGAATTCAGAGGAGAATAACAAGACTAATCCCGAATATTCTACACTAGAAGTAAGTGCTATTGGCTAGTGTTGCAGAATGAGGGAATGCCAGAAAAAAGTTAGGTTGCACGAAATTTGTTTCAGGAGTTTAATACAGTATACGCACCATCTTGCTCTAATAGCGCCCAGCCCTCTGGTCAGTCACTCTCCTGCCAAGTTGCCAGATACAACTGTTTGAACTAATCATACTGAAACTGTGACATAACTTTGTCGGATGATTGTACAGCTTTAAATTATTTTAGGTAAACTGTATGTTGAAGATCTATTATGTACCAAGCCATAATCATATTACTATCTGTTACTATTAGTACTGTACACAACCGTATTATTATGAAAACCTTTTTTTCTTATAGTTTCAAGAAAACTTCTATAATAATGAAATATAAACATCCCTGTAGTGTAAAAATGTAAGAAATTTAAAGTAAAAACAGTTTTTGTTTTCAGTATGAAAAGATAAAGTAAATGTCTCATGATGCAAACTCTCAAACACAAGGCTTGATTAATTTGATCCAGACTTATCTAAAGGTTTACCTGCATGAGAAAATTACTCCATAGTTAATATTATGAAACATTGTAGACTATCTGGTGAAAGATGTACTATACCTTTTCCACGCCAACCTGGCCCATAAGCCACGCCCCTCGTCTATAGCTACAAATAGCTGATTGGTTCCCCTGAGCGTCTTAGGTCCCCCTCTCTGAAGTGCTAATGCCTTGAAATCATTTGCATTTTTATAGTTCAGATACTTATTTAACATTATTTTAGATAATTTTCTATGAACCAATCGGCTATTAGTACAGTATGGAAGAGGGACGTGGCTTATGGACCAAGTTAGTATGGAAATATTACTATAGGTGTTCCCTGCAGTGTTAATATCTTGACTGTATCTGGACAAAAACTTTATTATTAATCGCTGTATAAACTGTTAAATGAATAAGCTAATAAGTTTGTGTACTGTCGCCTAAATGTTATAACTTGAAGGACTTGGTGTCATTTCTTCAAAGTTGCCCTTTTAATAGTTTGATGTCAATAATGGCTGCCACACGACTTAACCATTCATCTGGTACTGCATCAAGGTTTGGTTAGGATAAATGTTCTATTTTGATAGAATGGAACTATTTTCTCTGAAATTTGGGATATTCTTATCAGTTAAGGCCCCTATTACAGTATCAGAATTGTTATTGTAATTTCATATTTTATTCAAAGGTACAAGAACTGGAGCCAGAGATACTGGCTCAAATAAATAACAGTTTAACACTTTCCAGACGAAGCCACAGACAGCACGGGAAACCACATGAAGCAC